TATAATTTGTTCAAAAAATAAAAGTAAGCTCAAGACTATATTCCATAAATAACCACTAGTTTAATTTAAATATAATTAGTAGATTTCCATATTCTATATTTTGATGATATATATTCTTTTAGAACATTTCATATTTGTAGGAGAAAATATATGTTTTTGGTATACATATAGATACCTGCCATATTTTGAAGGCAGTTTACATTAAGGTCGTCTCTTTATATTAATTGTGTTGGTTTAATTTAAGTAATACGGTTCAATCAATTATATGACTTATATTATTTGTAACATTCTAGAAAGAGTCCAAATTTAAATGACAACTTGTATCAGTAGATAAAAAGAATGACTCTGTTTTAATATAGTAGATATTCTAGAAAAAAAAAATTGTTTCTAAAAGATCCATTTTTTACATTTTCAATATATGTTTTATTAACTAATTATAAACTTCAAAAAACTTAATTGCACTAATTGATTTTTTATTGGTTTAATTTTATGGAAAGAAGATAAATACAAAAAACTATGCAAATTTATTTTGTTTTATTAAAAAGTGTCAAAAAACTAGAATATGGATCTTTTACGAACAGATGAAGTATTAAATTGACAATTCATAAATACAATAAAATCCCTGTAAATTAAAAAAAATTAAGTTGTTGAGTTTTTAAGTTTTTCGTGTGATTTTATTATTGTTTAAAAATTACTTTAAACTCTTTAATTCATTGGAATTATCTAAAAAGTTATTAAAAATTAAATCATCTCAAATTATAGATTGAATACACACTTTTTATAGTGTTTTCTTAAATCTGTAGTATTATGTATAATCTCTGGTGTAATCTAAAATGCTTTGGAAAGATTTATAATACTTAATAAAGTAAATAAGAGATAAGCTTAAAAAATGTTGAGAGTAAGGAATAGATTTCAATCATTAGATCAATTTGATCTTCACCGTCTATTTTGAAGAGATGTCATCTCTATAATATTATTTGAGAAGTCACTTTCTTAGGTGTCGCGCTCACGTTAACTCTCACGCTGGTTGATTACTATGATACCCTTAATGAATTAAAAATATATTTAAATATTACTATTTCTTTTTTAAAATATTCCAAATAACAATATAAAACAAAAAGGAAATATTTATAACATTTACAAAACTATTTAAAAACGAAAAAATCAGTATATATATAATATGGTTTCATAAAAAAGGAAAGTTTACAAAAAAATAAAATTTAACTTAAATATATTTTTAAATAACATAAATTATACTTTTTAAGTAATTATACTTTATATATAGGCCAATTCTCTCAAATAGCCTTCTTTTAAGTTTTTATCACAAAAATAGACCTCAAAAATTAAAATGACCAAAATAGCACTTTTTATTTTGAAAATTTTAATTTTTTAAAATTCGAAACACTATCCCCAAAACTCAACTCCTCAACTCTAATCAAAAAAGTCTAGGATTAGTTAACCCAAGGGGTATAAATGTATATTTAATAAAATATTTAAGTGATATTTTGGTCATTTTAATTGTTAAGATCTATATTTGTGATAAAAAAAAATTTAGGTCTATTTTAGTCATTTTCTCTTATATCTATATCTTCTTTAATGAAAAAATATATTTGTATATAATGTGTTCTCATAAAAAAAGTTCATACAAATAATCATGATATTAGAAAAATAAATATCATTTCTTTGAAAAAATAATTTAAACAATAAAATATATATTTTTAAAGTAATTAGTTTTTGTATATATCTATCTATTTTAGTAGATGATTACATAAAATAATTAAGTAACATAAACTGATATATGTTTAACTGACAAAAAATAATAATTAGTATATTTATTTGATTATAATATCTTACAGTTACATCAAAAAATATAAATTATATTTTACTTATATAATATAATTTCTCAAAAAAATCACATTTTTACTGCATTTTTAAGAGATATTAAAAACTAAACTAAAAATAAATTTAATAATAAACATCTTTTGATCAAATAACTATAATTCTTTTAAAATATCATAACACTATATAATTTAACGAGGTAGATATCTTATATTTTAATAGTTAAAAGTTTTTAGGTCTATTTTAGTCATTTTCTCTTATATCTATATCTTCTTTGATGAAAAAATATATTTGTATATAATGTGTTTTCATAAAAAAAGTTCATACAAATAATCATGATATTAGAAAAAGAAATATTTTTCTTTAAAAAATAAGTTAAACAATAAAATATATATTTTTAAAGTAATTATTTTTTGTATATATCTATCTATTTTATTAGATGATTACATAAAATAATTAAGTAAAATAAACTGATATATGTTTAATTCACAAAAAATATAATTAGCATATTTATTTGATTATAATATCTTACAGTTACAAAAAAAATATAAATTATAATTTACTTATATAATATAATTTCTCAAAAAATCATATTTTTACTGCATATTTTAAGAGATATTAAAAACTAAACTAAAAATAAATTTAATAATAAACATCTTTTGATCAAATAACTCTAATTCTTTTAAAATATCATAACACTATATAGTTTAACGAGGTAGATATATTATATTTTAATAGTTAAGATTATCTATTTTCTTAATAACTCTTTTGATGTTTAATTTTCTGTTTTTATGTTTGTGGAATTTAATATAACCATAATCAAAATACTTAAGAAAATCAGAATTCCTTATTTTTAAAATTATTTAACATAAATTTCAGTTTACCATCCAATCAATCTAAGGCATAAATTATTTAAAATTTATAAAATATTTAATTATTGTAAATATTGATATGTGTTCATAAGCTTCCAAAAATTTATTATTACTTATGTATGTAATTTAGAATCAGACACTTCAGTTTTTATTTTTTCGTTCTAAGCACAAAAAAATCTTAAAATACATAATCTTACTAATTCATACTTATATTTCTAAGATAACAACCAACATAAATATAAATAAAACAATTAATCAAAAATTTAAGATATTTAGAATAAAAAAGATTATAGTTGAATTCAGATAAATAGATAGAATCCAATATATATATATATATATCCAAATGATAAAACTGACTAAATATAATATATCTTAAATTATATATAACTAAAATAATATTATATTATTAATATAAATTATACAGAAAAACTATAAATTAATATAAATGTTAAAGTAAATATCAATCAACTATTATAATAGATTAAAATCACCTAGTGTATATAAAGAAGGGCATCCATGGCCTCATTTGTATCATTTAGAATAATACAGAGATTTTATTTCCAAAACCAAACAAACTCTTCGGAATCTGTCTCTGCCATGGACGTCTCGGTTCAAACCTCTTCTCCACCTGTTACGCGAAGCTCATTGCCTCTTCCTGATGACCTCGTTCTCGAGATATTCGTGAGGTTGCCGACAAAGGCGATAGCGAGATGTCGTTGCTTGTCCAAACTCTGGGCCTCTATCTTTCGCAGTCAATATTTCACAGAGTTGTTTTTTACCAAATCTTGTGCTCGCCCTCAGCTTCTATTCGCATTCCGTGATGACAGTGATGTTCTCTTTTTCTCGTCACCTCAGCCTGAAAATCCAAAAGAGAACTCGTATGTTGTAGCCGCCAATCAACTAGCACGTTTCCCAAGGTCATATGGATTCTCTGCTCTTACCAGTGGATTCTTCTGTTATGCAGCTGAACGGATCTTTGAGGAGGGGATGGAAGAATCGGAGTTTGTCCCAGTGATATGTAACCCCAGCACGGGGCAGTCATTGATCTTGCCTACATTGAAGTCGAGGAGTATGTTTAGAGTAGAAAGCTATCTTGGATACGAACCCATTGGGAAACAGTTCAAGATATTGTCTGTATGTTATGGTAAGAAGTTCCATGTTCTGACATTAGGAACCAAGAAACTGTCATGGAGGGTGGTCGAGTGTTGCGTACCACATCGTCCTTCTACTAAGTGTATATGTATCAGTGGTGTTATTTACTACGCAGCTGAAGGAGGCGACTGGTTCATCCGTACCTTGGTAGTTTGTTTTGATTTGAGATCTGAGAAGCTCAGCTTTGTTGAGTTCATGGAAACTATCAGTAGAGCAATGCATCAGTCAATTACAATGGTTAACTACAATGGGAAACTAGGTTTCTTTATGTCGAGGGATTATGGTTTTGTTACAAGTGTAAGTACAAGTCTTGGGCTGTGGGTTCTACGAGACGCCGGAAAAAATGAGTGGTCTAAGCTTCTATACGTATTACCACCTTCGTGGAAGGATGTGGTTACAGAGACCATGCGCATTATTGGAATGGTTGGTACAAATGAAATCGTCTTTGCTCCGACCTACCAACAAGTGACTTCCTATGTCATCTACTTCAATGTGGAGAGAAAGACGATCATAGAAGTTGGAATCCGAGGAATGGAAGCGTTTCAGGGTAAGAGATTTTACACCTATCTCAACTATTCTGAGAATGTGAAGCTTCTTTAAGTAAGAGATGTGTAGTTTTCTGATCGTCTTTGTAAGAAATAACATCGAGAAAAGGTACAAAATAAAGAAGATGTTGAAGGAGAGCTTTAGACTGATGATGATGATGATATCCAAACTGAGATTTTTATTGTTGTTATCTAGTTCTTCCAACATTAACGATTAAACTTATGACTGGGAATTCACACCTTTTCTACATCATGTCAAGCTTTATGACAATGTTTAGGGCTTTGTAACTTAAGATTGTAAAAGAATCATGGCTTCTTAGTTCTTCTTTCTTGATTTTTTTCTGATTATATAAGTAGAGTTTTTTTTTTGTTTTGAGAAAATATTTCAGTAGAAGACTAGGATATAAAAAACTGAGGCACAAAACTTTAACCTTTTGGCTCTCTTTTGTCCACCGAAGTGCTAGACAAAGGAACAAACAACACAAAAACTCTCTAAGTATGGCTCACAATGTATTAGAGAGACAAAACGCAACCATGTTTGAAGCTATCGAGAAAACTTGATGAAACAAACCAAGAATGTGTTAAATGAGCCAACAGATTCTAATAAACCAAACCATAGATGGAGAACAGATGTTTTCAAGAATTTTCAAAAACACTGAATGAATAAACGACCATTCTAACTACATCTACAAAGCTGTTACCTCTTTAGACACAAGCGAAATATATGTTACAATCAATCTAGTACTTAACCAGCATGATGTCAAAACAAAACCATATGAGACGCTAAGAAGTCAAATACAACAATAAGACTTGTATCAATCGAAACTTATATTCAATAGCATCGTTATGGTTGTGGAAAAAAGAACCATCGAGTGATAAAACTAATTAAAGGGGGATGGTAAAACATCAAAACTTCATGCTCCAAAAAAATTCTCAAGACCTTTTTCCACTAACAAGTACTGTATCAAATAACAAAAACAACTAAAAAGAGGAAAAATGACCACAAGAAAAGCATCAGAAAATTTAACTTTTGCTAACTTAATTTGATTCAATATGCTTCTTGACGATGTTGAGTGCAGTCGTATCTTCACCATAGTCCTGTACCATCAAAACAACACACAACACAACAAATAAATCACCAATCAAATCAAGACACGTAAAAAAAAAACTCTTTACCTTGACTACAAGACACGAGCATCCAACAACCTTCCTCGCATTACCCTCTGAATCAATCTTGCAAAGCTACAAAAAAAAAACAAATCATACATTATTACATTACATAAAACCAAACTAAAAACACATCAAACATTATTACATTACATAAAACCAGACCAAAAACACATTATCAAGTAAGAAAAAAAAAAAAGACAAACTTACACCAGCCCATTCACCGAGGGTTTTAGCACTTGGAACAGTAAGCAAGTTAATGCTGTGATCAGCACAAAGAGCTTTCACCAGCTTCACGTAATCAGGCTGGTTGCAATCTTCAGCCAAGACACAGAGCTGAGCAGAACGCTTCTCAATAAGCTTAGCGCATTCATGGAGACCACGGACCACACCACCGTGAGCACGTGCCTTCCTTAGCGTCAGCTCCAATGCTGTTAAGAGATCCATGTCCTCTGGGATTGCAGAGGGCTCAGTAACGGGAGGAACAACAGCAGGAGGAGCTTCATCACTGAATCACATAAGGTAATAAGCATCAAATCTATGAACGAATCTACTACTGATTAAGAGATGCTTACCCTGACATGTTGAATGTTAAGAGATGGAGGGAGGCTACAACAAGGACGAGTTGAAGGTGAAGTGAAAATTTGAGTATAACGAAGTTTATAATATTAGGGTTTAGGATTCTTGATTGCGAAGTTGGGCCTATATGGGCTTTGAGTCTTTTTGGAAGTTATAATATTTTGCAAATGTTGTAATGTTCATTGTGTAGTTCTCCTGAGCATTCCAGTGATATTCTCTCCTTGTTGAGTGATGTTAGGAGAAATTGATAAAAGCTTTTCCATACGTCTCTTCCTGGTGGAGAAGTTAAGCAAGTTTTCTTCTTTGATCCAGATGGTAGTTTAATTTACTATCTTATTTTTCTCATTATAAACCGATGCTTAATAGTTAATATTAGTACAACAAATAGATTGTTTAGTCTTGTTATTCAGTACACGATCAAAATATACGTTTTTTATACATACTCTTTTTCTTGTTAAAGTTTAGAGACTACTTGTCAAAGAGGTACCTTGGATGAAACAGAGAGTAGAATTTTCATAAAACAGTGGAATATACTAACACACGTAGAAAATATAATTTGATGCAGTCGAGTAAGATGGCCATCACGCCCCACGATTCATGTCAAGTGTATACTCCCATGAAAGCAAACAGAAAAATGTGATCGTTAAGTAAAGTTTTTAATAGATCTTTTTATAACAAATTAGCTGGAATAGCTCAGTTGGTTAGAGCGTGTGGCTGTTAACCACAAGGTCGGAGGTTCGACCCCTCCTTCTAGCGTTTTTTATTTCTTACCTAAATTCGTTTCACACCTCGAGTTAGTACATCAGTGTCTTTTTTTTTTTGGTCAAAATTACAAGTGTCTTAATATTCAATTTTTGTCCTTGAAATTTGTTAAAACAACACACCAGTATATCAAAGTCTAAAAAAAAAAAGTGTCCAAACAAAAACACACAAAACTATTCAACACACTTTTTTAACGATCATAAAATTAAAAGTCATCACGTTATTCTCGGTTTAGCGGCGCNAGTGTCTTTTTTTTTTTGGTCAAAATTACAAGTGTCTTAATATTCAATTTTTGTCCTTGAAATTTGTTAAAACAACACACCAGTATATCAAAGTCTAAAAAAAAAAAGTGTCCAAACAAAAACACACAAAACTATTCAACACACTTTTTTAACGATCATAAAATTAAAAGTCATCACGTTATTCTCGGTTTAGCGGCGCCAACCGATTTTATATCCAAACTCACATTTTCCTCTAAAGAGCAATCAAGAGAGCAGATCCAAATTTCACAATCAAAGCTTGAGAAATGCTCAATGAAGGTGCTCAATGAAGGTGCTCAATGAAGGAGTAGCGAAAGTTATGTACCATGATTGCTCGGATTCTATCCTCTAGTGTTACTGTAGTTAGCTTTTTTTTTTTGGAAAAAAGAGAGAATTAGGCAAAATGTCCAAAATCGAAGTCTATATTAGACGAATGCACATGAGTTGACATTAAAACAATTTTTCTTACAATTTGGTTGGTGTTAGACGAAAATGCCCTTCTGAATCCTATTGCCTATATCTNACCATGATTGCTCGGATTCTATCCTCTAGTGTTACTGTAGTTAGCTTTTTTTTTTTGGAAAAAAGAGAGAATTAGGCAAAATGTCCAAAATCGAAGTCTATATTAGACGAATGCACATGAGTTGACATTAAAACAATTTTTCTTACAATTTGGTTGGTGTTAGACGAAAATGCCCTTCTGAATCCTATTGCCTATATCTGGCATTCTCTCTCCAACTATTATTCCTCTCTTTCTTTAAACCACACATTTTTTCACACATCTCTTTTTCATATTCATTTCTTTCTTTTTACACTATTTTTTCTTGGTTTTTTTTCTCATCTACAATTTTATATGTAAATGAATGTTAAGTTTACTCATTTTGATAGATAGATGAAACTTTAAGAATATTTATTTATTAACATATAATACCTAACGCATGTATTGACATCTACAAAATTTATTAACAACTAACATCTTTGTTAGCACTTGTAATACATGTCTTTGTTAACAGTTAACACATCGGTTAACATTTACAAAATTTATTAACAGTTAATTCCTCTGTTAATACATTTGGTACATGTATTTTGTTAACAATTAACACTTTTGTTGACATTTACATTACTTGTTAACAACTAATATAAGTGTTAATATCTCGACACTTTTAAAAAAACTTCAATGCTGATTTTTTCAGAATGTGATGTAATTAAAATAATTTAGATTCATAAGAATAGTGTAAAATAGTAATAAGTTTTTTTCGCAATAATAAATTTTTACACAAAAAAAGGTATTAATATAATAAAAGAGTTTGAGAGTGAGAAAGAAGAGGAATAAAAGAAAAGAGAAAGAGAGGTTGTCAATTCTATGGGAAAGAGAATGTCAAGAGAGATACTATCAGAAGAGACAAAATCACATACATATGATAGTTAGGACAATTTCGTCATACAAAATGAATAAGTCCCATTATAAGCAAATCACTAATATAGACTCCATTTTCGTTGTATCAGCAAATTATCTCTCGAAAAAATACGTTAGGTGTATAAATACTCCGGTGTCCGTTTTATTTTACGCCTAAATGGGCTAAACGAGGCCCATAAACGAACAAAAGGCCCAATTCGAATTCGTTTCCTCGTATAATCCTCCTCCTCCTCAGACGAAATCAAACTCCACAGAGAAAAGAGCCACCATGATTCCATCGTCAGAGGTAACGGAGGCGGCGATGTTGAGGGAAGTGGATGATGCAGAGAAGGAAGAGGAGAAGATACGGCGTCAAAAGAAGCTTGAAGAAGCTCTCGAAGCCAAATCTCTTCGCCGCATCATCAGTGCTTACCTCAAGTATATCTTATCCTCTTCTTCTTTCTTTTGTTCTACTCAAATCATCTTTCCTGTCTTTATATATATATATATATATATATATTCGTATCTGAATCGACACTATGATTGGGGTTCAAGGAGAATCATCTGACTGATTACAACTTTGAATCACTCAATTATGAGATTATATTGTATTTTCTTATAATTTAATAGTGGTGAAGTTAGAAGAACTTGATTTTTATCTGATGTTCTTCAGACCAAACTAATATTATTACATGATATGGTTTTCTCCTTCGGACATGAATGTTCGGTCCGGAACCTCTTTGTAATAAAAGAAAACGTGTAGTTTGGTTATTTTGTTTCCCTTGGTTTATAATTTCAGAAGCTTCACTCACGTTTTGATTTCTGACATTTTTGTGAGTTAAGTTTGATGAAGATTAGTTTTCTTGTGATAGCCATGTTAGTGGGCTCACCCTCAGGCTTTGAAACTTATTGCAGTTACCCCGAGGCTGCAGAAGAGGATCTGAAAAAATGGGAAAGATCATATCGGAAGCTCTCTCCTGCGCACAAGGTAAATTTTTTGTTGCATTACTTGTGGAGACAAAGTTCTTATTGTTATTCCTTTCAGCAGTTTGTTATTTGTTGCGTAAGCCTTTTGATGTTATTTTTATAATTCACATATGATTGGACACTCATGGATTGATTATAAATGTTATCGAGTGAAATTGATTACTTGTCTCGAATCCCCTTTCTTTATAATAATAAAACTAACTATTTTCAGCGGTGTTATTTTTTTTCTTTTCCTTGTCCAGGCATTGGTTCCCCATTACGCTTCGAAGTTTCAGAGATTAAGAAGGTGAAATCTATATTCAGTAGACTTTTCATCTCTTGTCTAGATAAGTCATAAGTGTCACAACATGCTTGCTTGGATGATATTCTGAAATTATTTTTGTTTGCATTATAGTTGCCTATATGACCAGGTGCTTCTCTTTTGGTCTGAGGATTAGGGAAGAATCCTTATGGTCATAAACGTTTTCATTAGCTTTGTAGTTAATTTTTTTGGTCACAATGATGATATCCCCTGGGGTAGTTTTAGATTAGGAACATACTAAACGTGTAACAAGCATCGTTTTGGTGTTGACATCAAGTCATCAATGCATTGCCATCCTATTAATAATTTGACATCTAGGATAATTTTCGAAAAATGGTTTGGTTGTATAGAGTAAGATGACAGACTTTAGAATAAATGTGTGAGTTCTCACCTCTTTGAAAGTAAAAAAAAAATGAACGCAGCAAATACATAAAAGATGGAGTACTTACGTATTGGTTGCCTAGATCTTGTTAGGTTTATTTCAAGTTCTCGTGTCATTTTGTGATACCGAGCCTCTTATAATTGTTCTTTCTCATGCTGGCACACTAAACTGAATAGTATGCCGTATTGAACTTTATATTTACATCCTATTTGTGCTTGCTCCAGAGGCCTAATTATAATCTGATTTAAAATACCAGTGAGTTATGTGACTGTTATTGCAGGTGTATATCGACGAATTCATATTTCATATTTAATATGCTTCAGGTCAGTTGCAGACATATACTCTAGAAATTCCCTTTTCGTTTTGATTGCGTCACGCTACTTATTTGATTATGTGATTCGTAAACGTTCAAAATGCTAGAAACCCTAAGCAATTCATGTCATGTAATGATGTTTATCATAATTACTTGGCAGGCTTTTGAGCCCCCTATAGACCTGAGTCAAGATCTTGAGGGTTTTGAAGACTCAAATCTTGATTGTGCTCCACCTGAGAAATACATACTTGATGAAAGGCACGACTCCTCTTGTCAGCCTGCCTTGACTAATAATTGTACACATGAGGAAGAAAGTAAAAGCTTGCACGACTCAGTAAGAGGAACTCTGTCTATAGCTGTCAGATCAAGACACTGAAACTATATCCTCTTCATATATGACCTTTAAATTTATTTGTTTATATACAGGAGCTTCAGAGGAAGGATGCTAATGATCCTTCCCCCAAGAATCACTCTGAAGACGCAAGAAACAATGATAAGAGAAATGATTGTGATGGAGGCCATTTAAATCACGACCATGGCAATGTAATGTCAACACATATACTGTAGAATCTCATTTCATTTCATACCAATTCATATGATTTTCTAATTCTAATGTTGCCCTTTTTTTTCATAGGCATCATTATCATCTCATGATTGGTTGGACCCATCATTACAGACACATGTTCCTCTGGTGGATGTAGATAAGGTATGCTTTTGACATTTAGTATGGCTGATGAAATTATAAATGTACTCAAGTTCTTGTAGTGTTCAGAGACAAAGATTATAAGTTGACCAGCTCGAATTTATTCTCAAGCTCATTAGATTCATTAGGCAGTTTGGACGATTATGTGAGTAGATTCTCATGTAGCTTTCTCTATTTGAGTGAATCCAGTTACGCTTACGTACACCTTACACGTATGCATATGCACACCCGTAAAATTGCATATGTTTGTTGCTGTGTGTTTGCTCATCAATCTAGTAATTTGAAATGTGCATTTTTTTGTTGATTTCTAACACAGGTTCGTTGTATAATAAGAAATATAGTTCGAGACTGGGCAGCAGAGGTAGCTGTTATTTCTTTTTGTCATTTACTTCTTTGAATAATGTACTCAGTTTCTTCATCAATTTCACAACTTGACTTGTTAGTTGCATACTTTTTTTTACTTTTAGGGTCAGAGAGAACGGGACCAATGCTACAAGCCTATCCTTGACGAGCTTGATTCCTTGTTTCCTGATCGCCAGAAGAAGAGGTAAATCATGCTAGTGATATTTTTTTTTTGTGGAAAGCCTTTTTCTCCTAAATACTGTTCAGTTTCCTAATTCTGGTGGCTTACTTTCTGATTTAAAGAGAGTTAACTATGTGATTTGCAGCACCCCTCCTAGCTGTTTAGTCCCTGGTGCTGGACTTGGACGTCTGGCCCTTGAAATTTCTTGTCTAGGTAAAGCCATGGAGAAGTAAATTTTCTTGTTAACTTTAATGATAATAAAAGAATATAACAACTCTTGTGCATTGGAACAGGTTTTATAAGCCAAGGAAATGAGTTTTCATATTACATGATGATATGCTCAAGTTTTATTCTGAATTAGTAAAGAGTTTCTTACCTTCCTGAATATATATATATAATTATCTTTTTAAACTTCTTTATAATTTTCTCTCAACTTGATTGTTTTAACAGTGCACAAGTGCCTGGTGAGTGGACAATATACCCATGGATACATAGCAACTGTAATTCACTCTCCGACAATGATCAACTACGCCCTGTTACTATTCCTGATATTCATCCTGCAAGGTATGCCTTCATCGAACTCAACTAAAAATTATAATTTAGCATATCGTTGGTAAGGTAAAATGAATCTGTTAATAACTACATTCATTATGTCACTTCACTTTTCTGGGAGAGCAGTGCAGGAATAACAGAAGGTTTCTCTATGTGTGGTGGTGATTTTGTTGAAGTTTACAATGAATCATGTCAAGCAGGTTAGAACTCGGGATTACTTGCTTTTGTTTAGACAATGTTTCATACTAAACACACCATTCATCTGCTTAAATTGTAACCGGTAACATTGAATCGCAGGGATGTGGGATGCTGTGGTGACTTGCTTTTTCATAGACACCGCTCATAACATCATTGAGTACATTGAAACCATATCAAGGATCTTAAAGGATGGAGGAGTAATTATCTCCTCTGTTACATTCTTTCCAACTTCTTTGATCTCTTATAGCTCCTGACTTGTCTAAATTCAATTTTTTTTTTCAGGTTTGGATAAACTTAGGACCTCTGCTGTATCACTTTGCAGACACGTATGGCCACGACAATGTAAGCATTGGACTTATCCCACAATCTTGCTAATAACGTTGGTATCACAATGTATATTTCTTGTTTTCACCTTTAGGAAATGTCAATCGAGCTAAGTTTGGAGGATGTGAAGAGAGTTGCTTCACAGTATGGGTTCGAGATTGAGGTAATCTACACAAGACAAGAATTACATTTCATATATTAAGTAACAACATCTCATGTTCTCCCACACTCATTGCGTGTTCTTGACCTTTGCAGAAAGAAAGAACAATTGAGACAACGTACACTACAAATCCTAGGTCTATGATGCAGGTTCAGATTTTGTCATGGCCCTCTAAAGTTTCATTATGTGTAAATCTCTAATCTCAATTTCGTTTATATGTTTCTGTTTTTGGGTTTGTTTGTTTTGCAGAACCGATACTATGCTGCCTTCTGGACTATGAGGAAGAAATGTGCAATATCAACTTAACTAGATATACCTACACCTATATTCATTCTTGAATTTTTGCTGCATCTTGATTTTTCCTCTTTGGATGACTCAACTGTCCAATCTAATACAATTTTTTATTGTTATAAACTACTATACGCTATTTTCAGTTGATGAATAAGGAAACCTTTGTACTCAGTTTCTCCGCTTTATCCTTACTTCTGACATGATTTGGAGATTCAGATCCGGCAATGGCGGCCACTTGCTTACTTGTGAATGTTTGTTTCCGAAATGGAAGTCGTTTTTCAAAAGCAAAAATATGTAGCCAAATTATAATTGCGTTTAGTAAAATTAAGAACTATAGATTGGTCGGTTCACCAAACAACCAAATTGTGTCTAACATTCCTCCTCTAATTCGATATGCCCTCTTGAAACTAAAATTTTTGCGTATATAGTATTTTATGTTATTCTTAACGAAAAAGAAAACAATTTACTTGCAAATCGCAAAAGAAAAAAAATATTCTCAGCAGAAAGTTTCAGTCCAATTTTTCTTGTTAAGTTTTAATTAGCCAATATTCCATGTAAAGTTTAGCTGTTTATATTCTCTCTGCCTTTCTTAACATGTAAATATTCCCATGGAGAAAGCAATAAGCTTTTGCTTTCAGAAAGAAAATAAAACCCTTTAGTAACAAAGAAAGGAATAAACCCATGTTGAATTTGATCGTTCATGCTGCATGCATATTCTAATGTTATTCAAAAGTTTCGGCATGCATATTTTTATGCAAACTAAAATCAAATATGTGTATTGAAGTAAAATAATAAATTTATGATGATGATATATCAAAATATATAGATGTTTTTGTTTCTGAAGTAAAGCAACTAATGAAACTTATTCAGTAGTGTATATACACTAGTAATTACGAGTTTAAGTTTGCATATTTGAATTACCATGAAGGAGTTCTGTTTGTTTAAAAGAACATTAATTGTCGACAATAAAAGTTTCTAGACCACTTAAGTTGAACAAAACTACTGTATATCATAATGAAAGACTTGTGTGTTTATACGGAAACGAAAGGATGCTTCTCGGTCGTTTCATTGGTTCGTTGGAATCAATTATGAACACGTAACGATTTAATGTTTTCTGCCGCCCACGCGGTTCTTACTAAACCGACCTTCTTCTCCCTATATATATATATATGCTCATTATGCAAACAATATAACCCATCTCACACTCGTATACATTCACCTTTACGGCTTTACGCACGACATTCCCTTTGCTTTTTGATAGAGAATTTACAAGTTGTTCAAAGAATGAGTCAGTTCAGCCAAAACCAGTCTGCAGGTTTATTTTTTGCCCCTCTTCATCTTCACTTTTCTTACACGTTAAGGATCATATATGTCCTCCGACTCCGTTTTTATGATTTATCGTATTTCTAGAGATTTATGGTATATAACTAACGTGAAACATATTATGTACTTAGGAGCTTATCAAACTCCACCAGTTACTACCGGTCCCTACGTTGCACCGGCTCCTGCTGGTTACCCAACGAACGACACAAGTCATGCTACGATGGCTCCCGTCGAGACGAAATCTAAGGGTGATGGATTCTGGAAAGGCTGGTAAGTCCTTTTTGTTAATCACTAGAAAATTTCAATTAAATTTTGTTTGGTTAAATACCGAACCAGACTGGTTAGTTTGTGCTGAAATGTTGATTACTTTTATTTTATTTTTGCTGGTTTTAATGTTGAATGTAGTTTTGCCGCCATGTGTTGCTGTTGTGTCCTCGACGCCTGCTTCTGATTTTTGGGAGGAGTTTAATGGTCTTATTTGCCGTTATTTGTACGAATGATTTATATTGTTTTGTATTTTATTAGTTTATTATGATATTTGGATCTTCTTCCTCTTTGTTAACTCAATTAGTTAATGTTTTGATTTGTATTGTTGAATTTATCTTTTAAATTTTTATAAAATAAATTTTCTTTTCACACAACTAAATCATATTGCAACAATGTTGACTGTATTTCGGGATAAACAACTTGGACTCGGTTCATTTTTGTTCACGATCTCTGGTGACATTTCTTGTAGCTCAAGACTATAGTCTGGTTATAATGAATCAACAATCTCTATTTCTAAGATAAAACAATCAATGTTGTTACAGTGCAAAAAGAGATCTTACAACAAGTTTAAATCCGAATAAAAAAAAAATCTCAATGTGTTTTGGACCTTCTAGCGCCTAACCATTGCCTTGATGTCTGGATATCATCTTCTACACTCATTGGGACATGCCATGTTCCATCTTTAGACTCCTGACATCAAGCCATCAACCCATCATGCACCATTAAGCAAAATGTTGACAAATGACAAAAATTTTTTTGAAAGTTTGTGTAAGCGCATGTATAATAATGGAGTATGCAGGTGGCATATAATGTGAGTCCATTCTCTCTCGACACAAATATCCTAACCGGCAACATTGAAAACCATGTTATAATAACATACTCTTTTATGTACAGTTAACAGATTATAGTATACCTGATGCTTCTCTTTCCACATAGGGAAGAAACTAGTTCCCAGTAGCTGATAGAGATATGGTCTCTCATCTCATCGTTTGTCAACAATAAACACTTGCAACTTACAGCAGCGTAAAGCCAATACCTATGCTAACACATTCTTTGCACAAACTTTTGCTTTTTTTTGTTAAGACTTTTGCAAATCTTCTCAAAAAGCTATTTCGCTTCTCTATAACTGAATCTGCTTTTTAGCTATTCATGTTTACAAAATATCGGCACTAGTAATTTGATTACGAAAGTAAGTAAACAAATGAAAATATGTATTCCATGCATAAGTTTACTAAAATAAAAACAGAAAAATACAATTTAAAAAAAAATCCAATAGAAAAATTAATTATATATTAAAACTATATAAAAAATATTACCAACTTTAAAAAATAAGCTAATGAACATACAACAGTTAAATTAATTGGCAATTGAGAAGCTGTAACCGTGGAAAGAAAAATAAGTTTAATTTCAAAGAGATTTCTAAAAGAGTCATTAACATAAACTGTTGTTAAGAGACTCATTAACATAAATCATTAAATTCAGATTGAAACTTATCCAGAAACGTAACAACAACACCTAAAATGAATAGAAACTGTTTAATGCATCCTCATAACTTTTACTACAGTTATAAATATTCAGTATATAAACACAACTCCATTTATCGTTGACCCAAAGATTACATAAATTATAAATATTTAGAGTTGATTTATGTATAATCTTTTTACCAAAGTTTGAAATGATTTGCTCTCTTTTTCGCCATTGTTACCGTTCCAAAACCGCGGCGGATGAAGAAGAATCATGGACGATTGATCAGTCATCGTTAGTTACTTACTCAGAGCGAAACACATATGGAGATTCCAAACGGTGGCGACCGTCGTTGTATCCCATTTTTGAGAACGACGGCGAGAGTGATCACTTAACGGCGAAGGTCTTATTCTCATGTGAGAAATCAAAGGCCAAGAAAAGGAAGTCTTTCAGATACAAATTCAAGAGAGCCTGGTAAGTCATCATGCATAATCCATTTTATATTCTTAAATCCATATATTAGGTTACACAAAGGAATGCATAATCCATCTTCTTAGTTACCTGATGACATTTATATTCCTTTTAACATTGATTATATATGAATATCACTATGATCATGAGTTAGCAATATTTTTGTTAGTTGTTGCATCGTATATATAGTTTTCTACTTATCAGTTTAGTTTATGCAAAAAGGTTTACTGTATAATTAACAAGTTACTTACTAGTAATTAATTAGATGTAATGCGTGTGCAGTTACTAATTAAGAAATGTATGTGACCAATAATCGACGGTTTCTCCATATGAGAATCAAAATACTTGTCTATACCATTTATAAGAATGAAACTCCAGAATGCACAAAATATTGCAAACTCACATGAAAATAAACGTTGGATTGCTACAAAGCGGATTCTGCATTTTTCCTTGTGATATGACTTTCAAGAAATTAGTGATAAAATTGAAGATATTAACCCTACGAACATGAATCTAGCGTGATGTTAGTAGTTCAAACATTTGTAAGTTGTGTTTCTTTCTTATGTTTAATTAACCAATGAATTCACAAAACAACATTTTTATAAACAAATAACATGTGCTGCTGTGCATGTTTTATTATTTGGGTTATATATTGTTTGGTCTCTACATTCAAAGTATGGTTGATTGTGCGTTGATATGTTAACAGTCTATATTACTAACTTTAGAATTAGAAGAATACTTATATAAATAAAAAATATAACAAAGTACTTTTTGATAGGAATATTGCGATTGCGGATATAAGAGCCTCGCCAGGATTGTATCCTAGTCCAGTTGTGCATCGACTTCTATAATCTTATATTCTTTCTGTAATGTGACGGACCTTTAGTATAATGTAAATTAGTACTTTTGCATATTTGTATGCTCTTAAAATGGGGTAAGCGAACCATGCTCATGATTTTGTATTAAATCATTCTATTTCATGAATATTATTTATGTATTACATTTTATATATATTCCATATCTATTATGAAAAGTTCAATTGAAATTTTAATATAGTTTAACGAAACAAACAAATAAAAATCATTGCAAGCAACATTGAACTCAAATATATAGCTATTTGTTTTTCTCAATATCAAGAGTGTTCTAACCGAGTTTTTAGTTTTATTTCTTTTTTATAAAAATCAGTTACCATACTGAAATAATATATTGTGGTTTTGTTCAGTTTGGATATCTTTGCTTTTCAGATTATTAAGTTTTTAATCAAACATTATAGGTATATTTAAAATTTGTGAAATTCTATTTATATGATTTTAAATCAAGTTTTCTAAAATATTAAAGTACGTACTATTTTCACTCTAGTTTAAATAAATTTGATACATTACATCCATATCGCTCCAATAAATTTCTTCTGATCAGTTCTAATAAGAAGGCTTGCCCTTTATTATACTTATAGTTTATTTTAAACATGCTCAAAATTATACGGAAAGTTGACCAGCCAATAACAAACTATTCTTGAGCATGTTATTTTGATAAAAGTGATAAATCATTGTGCATTGAGCATATAAAGGTGTAACTATAAGGAAACTGATCTGGTGGTAAAGGAACCTCGGCTAAGGTGCCCGCCATCACGAGTTCGAGTCCCGGCCACAGCGGATTTAACATGGTTTCTGTTTAGTCTCCAGGACCTTCCAATGGATTATAGTATCAAATTGGTAGCACACAAAGTAATTCGTTTAATCTTTCTATGATTAAGATTAATTTTCTTTGCAACAATCTATCAAACCGGTTCTAGCATAAGAACGCAACCAAAGTATTTTTTTTTTTAAATATCAACATTTTCAAATACATGAACTACAGTAATAATCTGTAATTGGATAATGATTTATCTTAAAATTATGGAACATGACAAATCAGCAAAATCATTTTTTTAAACAATAGTATGATAGATTTTATATAGAAAAAATAATCATTTAAAATTAAGATGTGTACTTTTCCATATTTTATTCTAAACTTGAATCTTGACTCCTATGTTCTGTACTCCCTCCGTTCCTTAAAGATACATATTCTAGAAAAAAAATTATTTCTAAAAGATTCATTTTTTAAATTTTCAATATATGTTTTATTAAATAATTATAAATTTCAAAAAATTTAATTGCACTAATTGATTTTTGATTGGTTTAAAATTATGGAAAGAAGACAAATACAAAAACTATGCAAATTTATTGTGTTTTATTAAAAAGTGTGAAAAAATTAGAATATAGATCTTTTAGGAACAGATGGAGTATCATTTTCTATAAATTTCATTAATTATATGTACATTATAGCTACTTTATGTTTTTAAAATGATTATTTTGACCTTTTTAGATCAACTTTAATTCTAAATGGTAGTAAATCGTTGACAAAAAGGTAGTAAATAATATAGTTACTATTCAAATATACCAACAAAGATAAATGAATGACCCCTTAAAAAGAGCAGTAACCCTTCGTATATGATAAGGGTGTATTGTATATAACAACAAACCCAAATCTCTTCCCAATATTAACATAATTTCAAATGATTTTTTGTCTATTCCGTCAGTGTTGTATTTCCTCCACCACCACCGTGAATGATCAGTCATCGCCTGTGGTGCTTAACTCAAAAGAGTTCACACTGTGGAGACCGTCTTTAGCACCGATATTAGAAGATCAAGAAACTGAGTGTGATCACCATGTTACACATGTGGAATCAAAAAACAAAAAGAGGAGAGTGCGTTCAGCCGAATAATAAAGAAGTTATGGTGTTAAGTGGTATCATACGTTCTGCTAACTTTTCAGTTTTAGTTATTCTTTTTATAATACTTGTTTATTATTTATTAGATAAAGAATTTACAATGATAACCGTAAGGTGGTGGTTTATTGGTAGGCGAGCTTTGGGATTTGTTAAGCAATCCAGATTTGAAGGCACACTCCATTACATCTTACCTTATGGCCATGCGGATATGAGTCTATCTTACAGTCCATTTGAATACCCGGAGTGAGAGTCTATCCGTGGGCTGCACCATTCCTTTAGGGATTAGTCTGGGCTTCTCCATTGGTGTGGGATATCCCAAAGTTAAAAAAAAAAAAAAAAAAAGAATTTACAGTGATGGATAGAGCATCGCCAGGAGTAACTTCTTTTTCCAAATATCGGAGTTTAGTGTATGTGGTAATATTTTTCAGTAGCTTGATTAATGTGTTTGTGAGGGACAGACAGCTCTCAAAAAGGGCTTTTGATTGTGTACCAGAGATATGTGAACCCTAACATCCTAGGTTTACCATCTTGGTTATTCGTGTTTGGCCTTGCTTTTATAATCTTGTTATATCCATCTTTACCTAATCTTGGAAGCACATTTTCCCCGCAACTTCAATACCTCCTCTAATCCACAACTCAAAACCTTAGGAACATAAACATCCAGAAAATCAGAACATATATACAAAAGTACGTTACATACGGTAATCGATTTGCTTACTTGGTGAACAAGTTCTTTAGGTACGCTCTTAGTTAATGCTGGCTGCTCTATGTTTTTTTTTATCTCTAGACAAGTGAAATTCAAGATAGCGTGATCCCTACGCGTCAATCTCGCAATCGCACGGTATCCATTTCTGTTTTTGAGAGTGTAATAACCCGAAATAAGTTATAAAAAAAAAAATTAAACCGAAGTTCTGCAGCATGACTTTTAAATTTGTATCAGTTGACACAAATTTTTTTTTGTATCAACAGTGGATTCAAGAGACCTGAAAAATAAAGGCAACAAAACACAAACTAAACCAAAATCATCAATCTTGATCATGTTTCTAACGCCTTTTGGTTCTGTTTTTCCATTGGCTTCTTATTTTTTTCAGAGATTTGAAATTTTCCACGTTTTTCCAAAGCTCTTCACTTTAGCTCTACTCATCTAAAATAGATTTTTCTAACATCGTCTCCTATATTGCCTCCACATCTATGAAACGACATTGTAGCTTGTAGTTTAGTCTGCAACAAGTACTGTCCGTAAGTAAAGTTACAAAAAAAAAAAAAATTAGGTTGAAAGCGGGTTAAATCCACTCGCTTGGCATGTCCGTCGTGAATTGAGTACATATAACCCGTAAAATCAAAAAAAAGAAAAAAACTCGTAATACTAAAATCATGTGATGATGATGAAATGATGACAGGTATAGCCAAACAAAAACTCTCAAGTTATGAAGTACCTAAACACTTCACATTGTCTACATGGTCCAGAAAGATGTGAACTTGATCATACTCAGACACATCCATTCCTTGGATTGCAACTTTAACGACAGTATTCGTCTCGGTATTGAAGTAGATTAGGTACAAAGGGCTAGGTGGATCGGACTCCATCACAATCTCATTTGTCCCTGTCATTCCAACAAAGCTTAACGAGGCACTCCTCCCAACAATATCCTTCCACGAAGCGGGAAATGAATACATAGACCACTCCTGCTTTTCGATATCTTCAAGTACCCACAGGTTAACACTTGTAATCATTTCTTCAACGTAGTCAAATTCTCCAAACTCAAGTAAACCTAATTTACCATTGTAGTTTACCATAGTTCCTTCAAAGAGAAATTCCTCGCCTTTAATAAACCTGAACTTTTCAGATCTAACGTCAAAACAAACTAACATATCACTCTTTGTAGATTTCTCAAAAGCTTGATAGTACAAAACACCATTGATGCATATCCCTTCCGAACGTGGATAAACATCGAGTACGCGGTCACAGTTGATAATTCTCCGTGACGGTTTTCCCGTTCCTAATGTCATAACTTGATACTCCTCAGACACCACGTCGAAAAATCCATTATCTGCTCCTGACATGGTCAATAACTTGACTTGTTTATCAATAGGATCATACCCAAACAAACTCTTTGACTTATCTTTCTTTGTCTTCACCCTGGTTAACGGTAATATTTGCCCTGTACTAGGGTTACATATCACAGGCGTCGAATACCTCCCTCCATTTTCGAACCAACAATTTGTAAGGCCGAACAAGCCGGGACCAAGGCCACCACTTATTTGAAACGCACCACCAACACCGAGGTAAGCATCAAAGGACAACTTCATATGATAAGTGGGGGCAAGAGTAGAAGAACTATTATTCTCGTCCGGATTCTGAGGAGCAGAGAAGAACAATAAGTCACCGTCTTTTTCGTAGGCGAGTAACAGCTTGGGCCGAGCACGAGACCTGCTCAAGAAGTATGGTGGACCAGGTCTTCGTAACGCACCGGCATATCGCTATCGACTTAAGCGGCAACCTCGAGAATATCTCCATG